AATAACAGCGGAGGAAATGGGCAGGGGTACAAAGGAAACAGGGTTATCTGCAAGCTGACAACTGTCGAATGTGAGCGATGGGCTCCTGGTGGGGGTCATTATTTTGTTCTCTTTGTTTTTATGTGTTCCTGAAAAAAAAAGAATGTTCATAGAAATATATAGTGGAGTAGGTCATGAAATCAATTCAGTGGGTCACGACCAACATTAGAAACAACATCGAAGAAAATAGAACAGTCTAGAATAGAACCCACCAGAATGCATTACCTGAATTAATATAATTAATACTTGACGAAACATTTTTTAGGAGTGTGTGTGTGTGTGTGTGTGTGTGTGAATGTTAGACGTACTTTTTACTGTAGTCACAGTGAAAAGAGTTGGAAATCGATTTCTCGTACTTGGTTTGACAGTGATCTTTGGAACCAGATTGCCTAATCCCAGCTAGCTGTGTGACCATGAGCAAGTTACCAAGTTTCTCTGTGCCTCAGTCCCCATGTCTTTAAAATGCAGCTAAGACTACTACTCACATCCTAGGATTGATGTGAGAATTAAATGAGTTAATAGGTGTGAGGCATTCCCAACAACGCCTAACGGGCTGTAAGTGGTCAATAAACGCTAATATTACAATGACATTGAGTTTGCTGGCTTGAAAAGGTGTGTGTTTTCTGAGAGAAAACCACAAAAGAAGAAGTCTCTAACGGTGGAATTCCAGACAGTGAGGTAACTGCGTTCACTCATGAACATTCATCATGGCGTCAGGCACGTCCTCTAGGTACTGGTCCCAGGACACTGGGAATAGGGGGCGGGGGGAGAGACAGACATAGTCCATGCCCCCTGGAGCTCACCCTCCACTGAGAAGAGAAATTAAGCCCTTTATCATAATAAACGTGTAATTATTGGGTGGGAGAAAAAAGCAGGGTGGTAGAGGACCAAGAGACCAGGCAGAAACCAACACCCAAATGATATTTTTGACTCAGCCACAAGTAAGATCAGGGGCAGGTGTGAGTGGGACAGGCAGAGGAACAGAGAGGGCCAAGGCGTGGGGACAGGACCACTGCATGACAGGAGCCGGGTGCTAAGTACTGCCCTGCCCAGGAGGGTAGCCACCAGCTGCATGTGGCTACTTAAATTCAAATTGATGAAAAACAAAATTAAAAATTCAGTCCCCTGGTGCTCAAAGGCCACTCTGCATTAGGCAGAGCGTGCACCAAACATCCCCGTGGCGGAAGGCTGGCGGGTCAGCACTGGTCAAGATGCCACAGTAACGGCTGGACCCTGGAACCACCAAGGAACCAAATTTCAAATTTGATTTCATGTTAATTCATTAAAATTAAATTGTTCAATGGCCCTTTCATTCAGTAATTGGAAGACGTAATTATGTTTGGAAAATAACTTGGGTATGTATATCTACTTTTTTCAACTGTTACATTTTATGGAATCCAAATAGAGATCAAGTTGAAATTCACTGGAAGAAGAAAAACAGGCACACCAGACGTCGAAGACACAAAATGAAAGAAATGAAGATAAAATATCTCATTAATTAGTTTTGTATTGATTACAAGATAAGATGATATTTTGGATATAATGCGTTCCCGAAAACACGTTATGAAAATAAAAGATAATCTGGGCTGTTTTCCCTTTTATTTTTAGTGTAGCCAATAGAAAATTTTAAATTACACAAGGATTCAAAATACATTTCTTTTTTTCTTTCTTTTCTTTTTTTTTTTTTTTTTGGTGGTGGTGTGGGAGGGGTAGTAGTGGTGGGAGGAGACTGGGGATTAAATCCAGAGGCGCTCTACCGTTGAGCTAGAGCCCCAGATGCTTTTATTTTAAGACAGGGACTTGCCAAGTTGCCCAGGCTGGACTTGAACTTGCAATCTTCCTGCCTCAGCCTCCTGAATAGCAAACCAGACTTCCATAAGACAGTGTCAAGATAGGGCTTTCGTGGGGTCAGGGGAAGAAGATTAGAGGGTGAGCTGGAAAGTTCTGGAAGTCTCATGGGCTCAATGTAGAGTTTGAACCTCCTGGATAATGGGGAGCTACAGAAGGTGTTTTGGGGAAATGACAGGGTCAGATATTGCTGCCTTGGAAGGATCCCTCGGGCAGTGTTAGGGGGAATGGAGTGAGCAAGGAAGCCAATTGGCAAACACAATAATCACATCAAGCTCCCTGCATACCAGAGTGGCTTGGATTAGTATGGCAGCCGCAGGGATGGAGAGAAACTGTCTTTCTTTTAAAGAAACTGTCGAAATTTCACCCCAAACCGGTTTTTATTTCATCAACCACCCCTGTATGGGGGATGGAAAATGCAGTTGTCCAGTTGGGTTCTTGGCTCTCCAGACCTAAGAATGGAAATAAGTGGGGTGGTAGATAGCAACCTCGCCGTGGCATAGTGAGTTCTGGGGAGGTGACACAGAACCAGGGGGTGGAGATACAGGATGGATGGATGAATGGATGGATAGATAGATAGACAGACAGAGGTAAAGATAGATACATGAAAGGAGATTCATCATGGATGAATGGATAGATGGTGAAAGGGTGAGTGGGGGGGTAAATGGATGGTTAGTGGATTAATGGAGAGATAGATTGATAGACAGACAGATGAAAGGGGATTTGTCTAGGGAATTGGCTTATGTGATCATGGAGGCTGAGAAGTCCCGAAGCTGGCCGTCCACAGCCTGGAGACCGTTCATGTCCTGGAGACTGAGTAGTATTGCTCAGTCCAAGTCTGAAAGCCTCAGAACTGGGGAAACTGATGGTGTCATTCTCAGTCCAAGGAAAGGCCTGAGAACCTGGGGTCCACGAGGTGTCCAAAGGCCAGAGAGCCTATGATCTGATATCCCAGGGCAGCAGAAGGGGCATCCCAGCTCCGAGAGAGAGAGTGAGGGAACGTGGCTTTTCGTTATTGTTCTGGGAACCCCCCTCAACTCCATGAGCCCACCAAACATTGGGGACAGCTCTTCCCCACCCAGTCTACCAACCCACATGCCAGTCTGCTCCAGGGACATGCTCACAGACAAACCCAGCAGGGCCATTTGACCTGGACGCTCCCTAATCCAGGCAAGTTGACACCTACCATCAACCACCCCAGTGGCTTTGAGCCTCAAAGGGACCTACAGACCCCACTCTGCTGGGTGCAGTGCTCAGGGGCCTGCAGAGCAGAGAGGAAGCCATGGCTCTCCAGAGGTGGTCACCAAGGAGGAGCCCTCCAGAAGAGGGTGACGTCATTCAGGGCAGGTGACATGGCAGAGATCCCAGTATAGAGCCCCAAGATAGGACGTTGGAGAGAAAGGCCAAGCAAAGAAATCAAAGGCACAACCAGAGATAGGAAAGGGCAAGGACAAAGGTCAGCAGATTTGTGGGCCCAGCCCCAGCCTCACTGAGCTCCGGGCAGGATGAGCCTAGGACCGGGCAGGGCGTACAGGAAATACTCCACACATACTTGTTGAATATCGTAGGTTTGCCACATTAAAATTCTCAATGTCCTTGGAAGGAACAATTTCAGAGAGGCATGTGGGGAGCCAGAGTGCACTGGACAGCAGGGCCCGGGGAGAGGGTGGGTGGGTGCAATACTTTCCAGAAGTCTGGCTGGGTAGGAAAGGACAGCACATGCCCTATTCAACTCTGAATCCCAGTACCCAACATTACTATCATGATGATTATCATTCCCAATATACAGATGAGAAAACCGAGGTCAAGGAAGTAGAATGACTGTCCTTGGTTTGCAGAGACTTGCTCGTGAGCCTACCCACAGCCCAGCAGGGCCTCGCCGCACACCCCCACCCCTGCCCTCTCTCCTTACCCGGGCTCCTGTTTTTCTTTCATGAAGCTGGCTCTTTGATCATCGCAGTGGACATTTTATAAACTAAACAAACAAACCGAAGCTGCAGGTTTTGTTGCTTTCTTTTTTTTTTTTTAACAAAAGAGCTCATTGAATAAGCAATGGGTTCTTCTGCGACTATTTTTAAAGATGGAGCTGCAGGGTAGGCTGGGAGGAAAATCACCGAGAGTGAGCTCCTGAAGGTCACCGGGCACTTAGGGAAAAATCCAGAGTTAGTGGGGCCCCCTCCGGGCCCTGCAGGCTGCGAGCCGTGAAAGCATTTGCCCACGATGGCCCAGGCTCCCTGAACTGACCAGAGTAGCAATGGCCTTCCATCTCTGCAGTGTCCCTTGCCCTATCCCCTTGACCCAGGGATTTTATGATCCCATTCTCTTCCTCCCCCTTCCCCACCACATTGCTGGCCACTGGTCCTATCCTCACGGCTCTCCAAGTGGGGACCAATGATCCTGGGAACAAGCTAATGCTCAACCATTTCCATGACACTTTAGTTTCAGGGAAACTGAGGCTTAAGAGATATCAGTGTAACTACGTGTGACAATCTGGGGGATCAAACCTATGGTTCTCTCTGTCACCACATCTCCAGCCTTCTACATTGCAAGGAGCTCTCTATTCCTCTATAGAGCTCTGTTTCAGGGGATCTGGAAAGTTCTGGAACTTTGCTTTAAGGCGTCCCTGAGCAGTACTGCCAGACAGATTTTTATTCAGAATTTAGTGGGGAAGTTTCAATCCTTGTGCACAAAAACGTGTGCAGGTAGCCCTGGCTCCCTGGGCCTGCGTTTCCTTGTCTGTAGATTGGGGTAGATGGTAGTAATAGCAGTTGTTGATGTTTACTGTGCCCTCAGTGTGTGGCGCATGGCCGGTGCTGCAATGCTAGCAGGTGCTATAATTGCTTCCAGCTGAGATAAGGCAAGGGAGGCTCAGTACTGAAAAACTACTTGTCCAAGGTCGCAGGGCTTGCAGGGATTCGAGCCCAGGTAGCCCATCTGGCCTCACCTGCACAGGGCTGTTGCTAGGATAGAGGAACAGGGGAGGTAGGGTCCTGAACCTGGATTTCGGCCCCAGCCCTTCTGGCTGGAGCCTGGGTGCCCTCTAGTGGTCAGAGCAACCACTGCAGCTCAGTCCCAAACTCCTTGCCCAGCTTCCGCTTGGTCAATCCAGGCATGGGCAGGCCACCTGAAGGCCTGAGAACCAGTGGCTCTGTTCGGAAGCCTAAGAAGCTTGCTTGCAAGGAATCCAGCAGGCTGAGGGTTCGAATCCCAGCTGCACCGCCCCCAGCTCTGTGACCTTGGCTATGCCTCTCTGGTAGGTGAAATCACTGTGCGATTAGGTTCTTGAGCCTCTTTGTATCAGAGGATCACTGCTTCCCCTCTTGTATCTGGAATGCAGAACAAGAGGGGTTCTCCCTGGGTCTAGAGGTGGGGTCCAGGGGAACCACCCCATCTGACTGTCAGGATGGACAACTGAGTTATCTTCATGTTGATAGAAATCCTGTGCCTCTGTTTCCTGGGAGCTTGGGGGAGGGGGATAAACAGACTCCCAATGTTACCGGATGCACCTCCTGAAACTTGAGTCAGCAACAACAATCTCCAACAACAGGAGTGTCAAATAACAACAAATTGCAGCTTAGTAATAAGGAGACCCTTTATCCAAAGGATTCCTGCCAGTGAGGGAGAAAGAGACCTTGGCCCCAGGGGCGGGGCCTCTGACCATGTCCGCCAGCAGCTCAAAGGTCGGGCGTGCGCGCGCGCGCACACACACACACACACACACACACACACACACACACGAGGTAAATACAAAGAATGTTTTGAGTTATGTTTAATAGAATGGAGTAAATGCAGGTAGGAAAACTCAGGTGTGAGGACATGGGTAGAAGGTCGGCCCTGTCTGGAGGATGTTTTCACAGAAGCTGAATCCAAGTTAGGCTAATCACCATTTTGCTCTGATTGGACCAATGGGGACAAGAAGTTCAGTCGACCATTTTTGAGGCAAAGAAAGGGAATGTTAAGGGTCTGTGCATAACATTGTCTTGTCCTAGGTAAACTAGGGAGCACCCTGAGTCTTCTCTCAGTCCTAGAGGGAAGGGGAGGCAGGCGAATCTTTGCAATAAGCTGTTTTCCAGAACACCAAGAGTGGCCTAAGAACACTGCCCTCATTAATTGGTTGACTTTGAAGATGACAAGAAGGTTCCGGTGTGGTGGCGCACGCCTATAATCCCAGCAACTGGGGAGACTGAGGCAGAGAGATCTCAAGTTCAAGGCCAGTGTCAGCGATTTAGCGAGACCCTGTATCAAAAAAAAAAAAAAAGCCTGTGAAATGTAAGAATAAACAGAAAGCAGTCATTAATCTTTTTTCTAGTAACTATTAACATCTGGCAGTCACTCTGGGCACAGCTGATTGTCCTTGTCCTTGTAGTATAGTGAGGCACCAGCTGGGTACACAGGAGGAAAAAATATCTTTTTCTCTTATCTCTTTGAATTCTCCCCCAGACTCCCTGGCACACACACACACACACACACACACACACAAAATCCTATCCACTGGAGAAAAGCATATAAATGTAATTAATGTGGGTTTTACATGACACAGGGCCTTTCACAAGGAAATGAAGAAAAAGTTAAACCGGAGTGTTTCTATTCTAGGTTTGGTGAACGATGGTGTAGTTGTGGGAAATGGGGCTGGACAAGAGGTAGAGCCAACCCTTGTTAACTGAGGACTCAGCAAGGCTGTGTGCCAGATTCTCCCCCTCTTCCCTCGGTCTTTAGATACAGGGATAGGGGTGGGGCTCACATGATGGTCTATGACCTGCTTCCGGTGGGGGGAGATGAGGGTCCTCCCTGCACCCTCTGTGCCTCAAATTTTCTTCCACTTAGAATATGCAACGTGCCAAGGTGCCTCACACGAGACTCGGGCTGTGTTCAGCATTCTGATTGTTGACTGAATGGGTGAGGGTGAACCCTGAGACCAAAGTGGGTGTGATGTGGACTGTGCTATAGTTTGGATGCTGAGTATCACCAAAAGCCCGATTTAAAAGGTCTGTCTACCCTTGGTTCCCCGAGGAGGTGCTAAGAGCTTTAGGAGGAGGGGCCTAGGGAAGTTCATTAGGTCACTGGGGACATGACCTCAAAAGGGATTGTGGGACCCCCATCTCTTCTTCTTTTGCTTCCCAGGCATGAGATGAGCAGTTTGTGCTGCTAGGTCTCAGACAGTTCATTATAGTGATGGGAAACCAGCCTAGACCTCATGGGTCATGACGAAGGAGTGAACAGTGTGGTAAGACCAAAGGGGCGGGGAGTGGGACCTGAATGACAGGGGAGTTGGGATTTGTGCTGAAGGTTCTAGAGAGTCCTTGAGAATCAGCCTGGGAAACATTCCAGTGGAAGAGCCAGGCCAGGGATTGTGGTTCCTGTCTGACAGTGTCCTGTGCTCTGGGACCTGGGAATGGGGGACCAGGCTTTGGTCTTCCTCTTCGAAGAGCTTATAGCACCCCCTGGTGACCATTCCTGGGAATGCACCAGGGATTGGGGAATGACTGGAAGAAAATGCAAAGATGAGGTTTCCCCAGATGGGCAAGGTTCCAGCTCAGAGGACAGTCCTGCGGGAGGAAACCTGGGTCCAGTTCTGGACAGGGAAGATGGGCAAAGTCAAGGAGAGAACTAGACATAGGCATCTGGAGCCCAGAATGTGGTCTGACCTGGAGACCAAGACTAAGGGCCATTTAAAGGGAACATGAACTGTGGGGCCCTGTGGGGCTTTTTGCAAGGAGAATCTCCCACCATCTGAAGCACAGAATTAAGCTGGGCTTGTGCATTTCCCAAGTTTCTATTCAAAGGTCAAGCCAGAGAAGGTGGAAACCGCCCTCACCCTCACCGGGCTTCTGCAACCTCTTGTGTTGCAAACGGGAAGACGGTGAAGGACACATGGCCAGTTGGCCCCACCCAAGGCCCCACTAGAGCTGCCCTGCCCACCTGGGTCCTCCCTCACCTTCTGCCATCTTGAAAGTCCTGCTTCCACTGAGACGTCCCCTTGCTGGAGCCTGGGCCCCAGCACCTGCTGCTATCTGAGGGTCCCAGCCCATCACTCCCAGAGGCCACCATGTGCCCTGTGCAGCAGTCACACAGGTCCACATGCCCCCCCACACAGGGGCATGCACACATGTGCAGTACACAGAGAAGAAGAGCAAACACAAGGTGGTCAGTAGAGGCAACCCGGCCTAAGGGGGGGAGGGGGGGACAGCAGCCAACTAGAGCCAAAGTGATGGCCGTGGAACCCAGTGGTCAATGCATCCTGGATCTCTAAAGGCCTCCCCAGGCCTAGATGTATCCCCAGGGCAGATACTTCAGTCCATTTTCTGTCACTGACAACAGAATACCACAGACCAGGTTGTTATAATAAAGAAAAGAGTTTTTATTGGGGCTCCTGGATCTGGTCCAAGGTCCAGAGGCCACACGTGGGGAATGGCTTCTTGCGGGCAGAGTTCCAAGGTGGTGAGAGACAGGACCTTGAAAGAGACCCAGGAAAACTGGCTTTACAGCAGATGTGCTCTGGCCATCACCCATTAACCCGTGAACCCAGGAATCGGGAAGCTGCGTGAATGACTGATCCACTCACGAGAAGAGACCTCGTGGCATCTTGATGTCTCACCACTAGGATCAAATGTCAACATGAGTTCCCAGAGGGAGGAGCACATTGAAGGCATAGCAGGAGCGAAGGCCCTGGTTAGCAGGCGAGGGGACTGCCCGGGCCTGGTGAGGGCCCCAGCAGGGCTTTCCCACACCTGGGCTGCAGTGTCCCTGATACCTGGAACACGGCAGGTCAGAAAGATGTGCCCAGAGCGAGGCGTTCCCTTGGGAACTTCCCTTCCAACAATGTGCTCACCCCAGGAGCCCGCCAGGGTGAGGGGACTGTGTGAGTCCAGCTGGGATCTTGAAGAGGTCGGGGAGGACAGTTGAGCTCAGGGACAGGGTTGGCCGTTCTCTCTGATCTCCACTCTCACTTGTCCCTGCAGAATCTAACACTTTTGGTTTCTATGATGGCCATTTGCCATGGGCAGCAAGCAGGGAAAGGAGGAGAATGTATGCTGAATTGGGTGGATTGTGGCGGGCTGTGGATACTTCTAAAATGTTCTCTGGATGCTTGGAAAAATGCATGTGTTTGTTCACTCTCCTCCCCCTCCTCCTCCCTCTCCTTCTCCTCCTCCTCTTCCTCCCATCCTCCTCCTCCTCCCCGTCCTCCTCCTCCTCCTCCTGCTCTTCCTCCTCTTCCTTCTCCTCCTCCTTCTCCTCCTCCTCCTCCCTCTCCTCCTCCTCCTCCCTCTCCTCCTCCTCCTCCTTCTCTTCCTCCTCCTCCTCCTCCTCCTCCTCCTCCTCCTCCTCCTCCTCTTCCTTCTTCCAGTACTGGGGATTGAACCCAAAGGTGCTCTACCACGGAGCTACACCCCCAGCCCTTTTTATTTATTTATTTATTTTGAGTCAAGGTCTAGCTAAGTTGCCCAGGCTGGACTTGAACTTGTGATCCTCCTGCCTCAGCTCCCCAAATTGCTGGGATTACAGGCATTCCCCACCCTGCTTGGCATTTTTAATGGAGGAGAAATTTGCATAACACGCAACACTACTATTTGAAAGTGAACGATTCAGTAGCATTTAGTGCACTCAGCGTGTGCACACATGTGCACACCCACCACTGTCTGGTCCCACACCTGGTTCCTCAAACACAGCATCCTCAGGAGGCAGCCACTCAGTGTTCTGCAGTCCCCAATCCAGTCCTCTGGCAACCACCAGCCTGAATCCAGTCTGTATGGCTTTGCCTCTTCTGGACATTTCATATAAATGGAATCATGGAATGCCTGACCTTTTGTGACTGGCCTCTTTTTCTTAGCATCATGTTTGAGGCTCATTCTTGTTGTAGCATGTGTCTTGCCTTCTTTCCTTTTCATGGCTAAATAATTTTTCTTTGTGTGAAATCCATTCTTCAGTTAATGGATATTTGGTTGTGTCAGTGCTTTGGCTATTGTGAATACTGCTGCTATGAACATTCATGAACAAGTATCTGTTTTACTCCCCATTTTCAGTTCTTTAAGCATAGATATCTATCAGTGAAATGGCCAGGTGCGTTAATTGTGTTCAACTTTCCAAGGATTCGCCATATTGTATTCCATAGCAGCTACACTATGCTACATTCCTGCCAGCACTGATCAAGGGGTTTCTCTTCATCCACATCCTCACCAAGACTTGTTTTTTTCTGGGTGTTTTTTGTTGTTTGTGGTTGTTTATTATAGTCATCCCAGAGGGTACAGAAATGATATCTCGTGTGGTTTTGATTCCATCTCCTTAATGATCAATGACATGAAGCAGCTTTTCACACACTTATTGGCCAGATATGCATCTTCTTTGTAGAAAAGTCTACTCAAGCTCTTTGCCCATTTAGTTGTGAAGTTGTCCAAATGCACATTGTTTTTGTTTGTTTGTTTTGGTACCGGGGATTGAACTCAGGGGCCCCACAATCACTGAGCCACCTCCCCAGCCCTATTTCATATTTTTATTTAGAGACAGGGTCTCACTGAGTTGCTTAGCACCTTTTTTGCTGAGGCTGGCTTTGAACTCACCATCCTCCTGCCTTGGCCTCCCCAGCTGCTGGGATTACGGACTCCTTTATATACATCATTTAATGCGAAGAAACTGAAGTTCAGACAGATTGACTGTCCCAAGGTCACAGAGTCAGGCTACAATTCAGATCCCCACTGGCTCACCCCACTCCCCACCTCTGCTGAGAGCAGATTATTTTGAGGCTGGGGCCGTTGGCTTGTGCTGACCTGTGGAGGCCTCAGAAAAGCTACAGGGCAAGAAAAAGAAGCAGAACAAAGGGACTTTTTTTTTTTTTTGGCAGTGCGAACCCGGAGCCTCACACATGCTAGGCAAGTGCTCTGCCACTGAGCCACATCCCCTGCCAAGAGAGCTCTTCTTCTTGAAAGACCTCCCAAGGACCAGAGTCCCCAAAATACCTGTCCTGGAAGGACTAAATATTGCAAAAGCTGCTTGCCAGGTTGGCTGTTTTGCCTTTGTGAATGTGAGTATGTGTGTGCATGTGGCGTGTATGTGAGTGTTCATGCATGTGAGCAGGTGTGTGCACACGTGTGCAGGTACTGCAGCTGCCAGGATGGGGCGCTCTTCTTCCCCATGTGGACTTGGCCCAGGCTGTGCCAGAGACTGCCAGGAGGCATGGCTGGGCAGGGGCTGCCACCTGCTGGACACACTAGGTACTGCAGGAAGGTAGACCCTGGGACACGGAGCCTGTTCTCCTGGGTCCTTTATTCTTTCCTCTGTCCTGCAGAAAACAGCGTCCCCCACCACCCCTAGTACCCACATAGGTCTCTCTAGGGAACAGCTGCTAGGACTTCAGAACCTTGGCATTGTGAACCCCTTACGTCTGGTCAAGTGGGCTTAGAATAACATTTTCAAAAGCATATGATATAAAATAATAGGATGTCAAAGGAAAGCCATTATACTGAAATACAGTTATCCAAATGGTCACAGTAATATATGTCATCCTTTAAATAGAGCCCAGAAGCAGGTCCAATAAGCCATCATTTTAAAACCATGATCAATGTAAATGATATATTCTTAAATATTTTTGTAGTTGTAGATGGACCCAATACCTTTATTTGTTTATTTTTATGTGGTTTCTGGGATGGAGCCCAGGGCCTCACACATGCTAGGCAAGCGCTCTACCACTGAGCCATAACCTGGGCCTGTAAATGGTATTTTTGAGAGATCGGCATTATTGGAACATGTTGTAGAAAATATTTGTGATTTATGAGATCACAAAGTCACAGATACTACTAACAGCACTGTCATCTGGGGGCCTAGATTTGTGATGGGAAGACATACCATGATTCCGCATGCCTGGAATCCCAGCGGCTTTAGGGGCCGAGGCGGGAGGATCTCAAGTTCAAAGCCTGCCTCAGCAAAAACAAGGCACTAAGTAACTCAGTGAGACCCTGTCTCTAAGTTAAATACAAAACAGGGCTGGGGGATGTGGCTCAGTAGCCAAGTGCCTCTGAATTCAATGCCCAGTACCCCCCCCCCAAAAAAAGTTTATAACAATAAATATGTAATTTCTCCCTCCAAGTTTGTGAATTCTCTCCAAGGATTCGCATCTAAGGTTAAGAGCCTACGGCCCAGACCCTGCCTGGTGGCCCCAACACCTCCTCAGCCCCTTGCTCAGGAGCCAAGCAGGTCACAGCCCAGTTTGATCCTCCAGCACAGCCCCCCGCCCTGTCTCCCACCTCCACACTCTGACCTGCCCTCAATGTGGAGCCCAGAGGCATTGCCTTGAGGTCCACCCAGCAGCCTTCTGCTCTGAAAATGGACAAGCCCATCTGAGATACCATTGTGCTGCCCTGTATCTCCTTCAGACAGACAACGGCGCCTCTCTCCAGGACACAGGCGGGGAGGCCTCTGTGTCCTCGTACCTGGACATCACCACCTGGCCCAAACCTCGTCCTTCTGTACAACCTAAGGAGACATCAAGTCCTTTTCTTTGAGTCTTTTATTTCCTAAATCCCAGACTTTATGAGGTTACAACATAAGTTTCAGGGAGTAGCCCCTTCCTGCCCTGTCACCAAAATTTAATGAGCGCTTACTATGTGTTCGGTATCATTCTAGGTGTTGGAAATAGAAATAATAAACAGAGAAGGCAATTTTCTCTCCTTCTTGGAGCTTATAGTCTATGGAGAAAGAGATTGAATAAGTAAGTTAAATGAGTAGAACGTAAAGCAGATGATAAAAGCTATGGAGGCAGGTAGAACAGGGAGGTGGGCGGTTGACCTCACAGACTGGGGAATGTGTGAAGGAGGGGGAGGGAGCACTGTGCGTCTCTAGGGAAAAGCATCCCACCCGGGGAATGGACAAGGTGTAGGGGTGAAGTCAGTGAGGTCACAGTACAGGATGTGCAGGCCTTGGGGACCACAGGAAGTACATCGGCTTTACTCTAAGATGGGAGGTTGGGGGCAAAGGAGGATATGGCTCTGGTGCCACCTCCTTCTTTATTAAAAGAATTTAAACTAACATGTAATGGTGTGTATTTATGGGATACAGTGTGATATTTCAATTATTCCACCATGTGCAATACTCAGAGCAGGGTAATCTGCTCACATATTTTTTTTTAAATTTCCTTATAGTGAGAGCATCTGCAACCCTCTCTTCCAGCGAGGTTGAAATACACAGGGCATTGTTCTTCAGGACCTTCACTGTACCAGGCAAAGGAACACGAGAACTTTGTGCATGTCACTGACCTCCCCCATCCTTGGTAACCAAAACCAAAACCAATGATGATGTGCTGCAGTTTTGAGGACAGACTTAGCATTGGACAAGGGGCACGTGGCCCCTAATGGAAGGGTGGAGGCTCCACCAGGGATAGGCAGTGGGGGTGGGGGTGGGGGGAGAAGTGGCTGGGTTCTGGGTTTCATCTGAAGAATTTCCTCTTGGATAGATATAGCGGGTGTGAGATACCCAAAGGGACATAAGAGAGTATGTTCATTTCCCATGGCTGAGGTAACAAAGTGCCTTAAATTGCGTGGCTCATTACAGAAGTGTATTCTCTGACAGCTCAGGTGGCTGGAAATCTGAGATCCAGGTGTCAGCGAGGACAGTTCCCTCTGGAAGGCCACATGTTCTGGCCTCTCTGGCTCCTGGGGGTTCTGCCAGTGCTTAGCATCCCTTGGCTTGTAGATGCACCACTCCAATCTCTGTTTCCATGGTTACCCTGCAACCTTAGAGTTGGTCTCTATGGTTACATAGCTCTTCTCCCTACCCATGAATCTGGATCTGAACACATTTCTCTCTTAAGGACTCTGGTCATTGGAGAAGGGCCCACCCCAGTCTGGAATGAACTCAACCTAACTTGGCTAAGGCCATTTTTCCATACAAGGTCATATATACTGGTTCCAGGTGGACATGGATTTGGCAGGGATACTGTTCAAAGCAGTCCATGTGTGTTTGTCTACATTTTCATGGAAATGCATTTTAATCATATCAGGCTTAAGAACTCTCCCAAGATGCCCCATCTTGTCCAGGGGGTTGAGAGGGGACTCTACTGAGCCTTTGCAAGGCTCCTAAAAGAAAGATTTTTATTTATTTATTTATTTTTGTATCAGGGATTGAACCCAGCAGTGCTTAGCCACGGAGCCACATCCCTAGCCCCTTTTTATTTTTTATTTATTTTTATTTTGAGACAGGTTCTCACTAAGTTGATTAGGGCCTGGCTAAGTTGCTGAGGCTGGCTTTGAACTTGCAATCCTCCTGCCTCAGCCTCCCAAACCATTGGGATTACGGAGGTGTGCCAACACACCTGGCGGAAAATATGATTTTTATTAGTTTGGGCAAAATTGTATCAATTGGGGCTGGACATGGAGCTCAGTGGTTACCATGTTCATGTCCTGGGTGCCACATCCAGCACTGAAGAAAAAATAAAAATCAATGGATACGCTCTTGATGGAACTTGGTCGTGGGAACTCAGTCTCTCTCATCAGAGATAAATCAGGTCCCTCCTGGGACTGCAGGGTGATAGGAATAGATGCTCCAGTCCCTCCTGTCCTCCAGGCCTGTCATCCAGGGGTGTGGTGTGGGAGGAGAACTGATATAGGATTGTAATTCTGCTAATGAGGACATGGGGGGGGGGGTGTGGCGGGGAGAGGCTGATGTGCTAGACAGGGGCCACAGGCCTGCCAGAGCAGGGCCAGGGGCTACTCGGAAGATATGCATTGAACCTCCCCCATGATGCCCTACTCTTGCAACCCTGCCCCCTGCCCAGAGAAAAGCTCCCAGAGTGTATGAACAAACTGGGGGGCACCGTGAAAGACCTGCCTTTCCCAGGGCAGAGAGGGACCTTCAGCATTCAGCTCTGCCTGCCTAGACAAGGAGACCCCCACCGCCACCCAGGGCCTCGGCAGCCCCGAATTTTGCAAACCAAACACCTTCCTACTGAATCCTTTCACAGCTGTGAGCATCTCAGGTTGGCCAAGTGACCTTTCTTTCGACCGTGTTCATTTTCCACCAATGGCTCCCTCTAGCTAACCTTTTTATGGGGTTGATAATTTGTTTTAAAATCAATAATAAAAATAAAACACCTGTGTGATTTTGTGCAGAGATGTAACTTCCTTTTTAGTAGGAGCAGCCCCCCCTTAAATCCCTGAGAGGAGTTTGCTTTCTCTTATTCTGGGTTCTCGGAAACAGGTGCAGGGTAAGGAGGAGCAGGGAGTTGTTCCGAAATGACACCTGGCTCTTGTCTATCATAAATACTTTAAAATAAGTCAAGGATCCCTGCTTGGGGCTCGGGGGAAGGGTGGTGTGGCAGCACCTCCCTTAAATACCAATGATGCTGCCTGGCCTGGTGGGGCACTCCGATAATCCCAGCAGCTGGGGAGGCTGAGGCAGGAGGATCTCGAGTTCAAAGCCAGCCTCAGCAACTTAGTGAGGTCCTAAGCAACTCAGCGAGACCCTGTCTCTAAATAAAATATAAAAAAGGATGGGGATGTGGCTCAGTGGTCAGGCACCCCTGGGTTCAATCCCTGGTACCAAAATAAATAAATAAATAAATAAATTTGAAAAAATGATGCTGAAGGTGGGAAAATTCCAGGTGACTCTGCTCATTCATGGTGGTACACAAGTGGGACAAAGGACAGTCCTCCATCCTCAGGGGCCACTCCCACCCATGTCAAATTCTTTGGAGCTTGGGGCTGTTGGCTGGTGGGAGACGAGGCAGTTGAGGGAAAGTTCCAAACCTCTTACAGAAGGAACAAAGCAAAGGAAGCATCTAGACTCAGATCTCTGCAGCTATACGTATGGTTTGAGGACCAGCAGCATCAGCAGCACCCAAGGACTTCCTGTTAATGCAGAACCCCAGGTCCCACTCCAAAGCTCTTCAATGCAACTGTCACTGAACAAGAGCTCCCGCAATTAACTATGAACATCCCAACTGACAGCATCACAGAGACCAGAGGTTCTGACACTTGCCCATGCTATGCAGTCCCTGGGACTTATGAAAACAGGGGGCAGCTCCCCTTCCTAGGTCCCGATTCAGGTGTGCAGTGATGCCCAGAGATCTGGGTTTCCAGCCACTTCCCAGGGGTGGCCTAAATTCCCTCTCAGACTCTAGCATCCACCTGGGATCTCAGACCGGACTGTGTCACCAGAGGACATGGACCCCCCCTCCAGGGATCCTAATGAGCTCCAGTCATTGCCCATCGCCACAGAACGGAATGGGATGTACCACTGGATCTGAGTACCCCCCTGGCCATTTGCAAGGCCCCAACATCCACGCATGAAAAAGAGATTCTGCCACACCCGGTGTGCTTGGCGATATTCAGAGCACTTAAGCTTTATTTGGGGACGATGGCAGTGTTTCATGGGAATGAGCTGCATGACATTGTGAATGCTATTTTCAGCATGGAAGTCTGAGAGCAAACGGTCACAGCAACAGAGCCTTACCCCCACGGTCCTGCCCTTCTCTCCCCAACAGGTGCAGGCTGCCCCTGGCACACCTGGACGGTTGCACCTGGGCCTGATCATCATCTCCCTGGGTACCTGTTCTGTGTCCCCCAGGTCACTAGGCTAGAGGGGAGGAGAGGGGGGCTGTAACCCTCCCATTTCTTCCTTCTCAAGGTCACCTTGGGAGCAGCTGGATAGGCAAAGTGCACCCTCTCCAGACACACACTGGGAACCCAAGTCCCCACTGGCTCCATTCTCTCCTTTTGCTGCAAGGTTTTCCCTCAATGGACATTGAACTTATGGGTCTCAATAAAAGAAGGTGAATTTATAAATCATTCTGTGCTCCGGAAGTGTTCTTCCTTCTCCTACTCCATCCCCAGCAAGAAAGTCAGGGTAACATGGCCTCATAATGGGATCAGGGAGCTTCAGAGACACAGCACAAATGGAGAGGCCAGATCCAGGAGCTACAAGGGCTGAGTGGGGGGGTTCAAATTTCACCTGGGTTCCAGTTCTAGTTCAGGTGCCTCCCAGCAGTGGAACAAATAAATAGAGAGCAAATTATTTGTGATGCCCATGTGACACGTATCTCTCCCTGTGTATGTATTCCTCTCCGTGATTGTACCCAGCTATGATCTTTCACTGTGTATCCTAAGTCACCTGAGACCTCCTTCCTAGCCCTCTGGCATCAGCCGGGCTGCCCTGGGAAGGGAAACATGAATTCCTGAAAGAAGGTAGATGTACCAACATGAGAGGAATGGGTGAGTGGTAACCAGATCCACCTGGGAAAGTCAAAAGGGAACATGCCAAGTGTTAAGAGTCCCGCTTGGCAGAGGGTTGGTGGGGTGACTAGAGCTATGGCAGTAGCTGGACTGTACAGATGGGAGAGTGGCTGGGGGTTGGGTAACTGAGAGGGGCTTGCAGCAATAGCTGGACTATACAGATGGGATGGCTGGCCTGGGCAAACTGCCCCCCACACATGAACTCCTCCTGCTCTGTGACGCACACCACTCTCCTTGAAGTTCCCAGTTGGCAATCGGTCAACACTGAGTCAGGATAGGCAGGGGACGCTCACACAGTGTAAGTTTTGACAGACTTGTAGAGGGGTGGGAGCAGACCGTTGTTCTCTCGGACAATTTCCAGGTACTCAGATGGAGTCTCCAGCAAGAAGGGCCCACAGCACATCTGGCAGCAGCACCTGACCCCAGAGGGCGGCTCCGGGTTCTTGTCAGACATGGGGGAAAAGTCAAAATCAGCCACCTATAGTGAACAAAACCCCACGGGTCAATCACCACCCACTGGGAGTCCCTAGGTGGCCTTAAAAGCTCAGCAGCCTAGCGGCAATGTGCACAGACATGCTCGTCTGGCATTACATATACTGTGCAAAGGGTGGGCATAGAAGGAGGTAAGTCAGGTGGGACACCAACTCACCAATTTTGCCCAATCTGTAGATACCTCTTTGGCACATCATCCCAAACCCCAGGGCCTTGTTCTAATATCAGAACCCGCTCCAGGCATCCTGCTGGCTCCCCAGGCCCACTCCAGAGATCCTTCCCAGGCAGGGGCTAATGGTTCAGCTTATAGTCTACTGAGCACCCACCTCCACCATGTCCTTCTGCTGAGTGGCATTTCGCAGGGTCATGTACATGATGAAGGCCAGCATCACAGTGATAAGTGTGGCACATGGGAATGCAAAGACAGCCGGCTGGATGCCTGGGAGTGAGACAGCACAAGTTATGGGGCTGGGTAGCTGCTGCTGAAATGGTAGTTCTCTCATAACGCGGAGAGGAGCTGACCTCCAATAGTGATCTTACGTACACATATCCCAACTACACAACCTCAACGAGCAAATCTAAGACATGATAAAAAAACATATTGAGATGCATGGAGATTTTAAAATATGCCCACAAGTTATTCAGGTCACTTCTGAGAGGGTAACATAGATTCCCCATCCTTGAGTGTTGGGCTGGACTCAGGGACCGGCTCCTAGTGTATAGCCAAGGACAGAATGCAGCACATGACTCCCAAGTCTGAGCCATAAGAGACATCACCACTTCCTCCTTGATCTCCTGGGTGACTTGCTTGGGGGAAGGGGCACCATGTTGTGGGAACCTCTAAGCAGCATTGTGACCTCTGCTGCAAACTGTCCCATCTGGAAGTACTGGGTTTACCTACCAAGTCTATTGCTGGGAAGCAGATGGCAGAGTAGAAAGAACCCAGTGTCTGCAGAGGTAGTCTTGGGTTTGATTCCTGGCTCTACCCAGGATACCTGACACTAATGCTCATTGCTGAGGCTGCCACAGTGAGGATGTAGCAATGTAAGAAGCAAGGATGTGCCTAGCACACAGTAGGTCATCAGGAAGTGCGGGTTCCCTCTCACTCTTCCCCCACCCTGCCATGAGGCTCTGTTTTCCAGGAAAATATGGCGTGATTTCCTATACCACCATCTTCTCCACAGAACTTAGGGGAGCACCCAGAGGTGACTGCAGGCAGCAGGGCCCAAGGCACCCAGTGAGGCCCACAGGTCAGCCAGGGCCTGGAGTTGAGCACTACATCTTCTCAGGGATTCAGGGGGTCCTGGGGAGGTTGGAGCAGGCAGTGACAGTGTTGAACAGACCTACAAGGCCAGCCTTGGGGACAGGCATAGCTGGCAGAGTTTGGAACGAGCTCAGAAGTCCCGAGACAGACTCCTACCCCCACAGAAGAGTACTGGAGCAAGAGTCTGGATACCTGTGTTCAGATTCACACTGAGCTCCAGATCTGGTTTCCCTTTTGTAGTATTGACAATGGAACCAGGTGGGCATCTGAAAACCGCCCCTCAGGGTCCTAGAATCCTACTGTCCCCTCTGTGTAAGGATGTACTTTCCTGAGGTCCCATAGTTCTCAACCACACTTGGCACTTTCTGGGTCACTCATACTCCCTGGAAGATACCACAGCCCTGAGTGCTGGGCAAAGTCGCTGTGGGGGATGCTGATTTTAGTGGTGGCAATAGCACCAGGGCAGGGGGTGGGGGAGAAGGAGGGAACATTGGGATGGTGGGGGTCCACTTAGTGCAGGAGCGTTCATGTCAGGGACACCTGTGGTTGGTAACCTGTGGGAGGGGTGTTGACAATGGTGGTGATGAGAGTTGACATTGAGGGGTCCTGGATGGCCCAGTAGAAATGGTCTTGGTCCAGTGGTCAGTGGTGAAACACCATGCAGACTGGTGTTCACCGAAGTGGGTGGGGCAGAGATGCCTGAGGCAATCTGGTGGGAATACTGATGGGGTTGTTCCTATGATGATGATGACGGTACTGGAAGAATTGTTAGGCGTGTGTGTAATGGTGGCAGTTGGCTTGGTTTGTTTAGTGGTGCAGGTGTTGACGGTGGTACTGGTAGATGGATGGGTGCTGGTACTGAGATTGGTAGAGTTGGTTGCTGAGGGTAGAGTGGTAGTGCTGGTATTGGCCATGTTGGTCAACAAGGGTGTGGTTGGTTGTTGATGACCTTGGCAAGGTCAGCCTGTAGCTGCAGCAGGAGACGAGGGGTCACTTACTGGAGGGCCACACCTGGATCCTGTGATACTGATGTGTCTTGCTGATGACATTCTCAGCCCGGATGCTGAAGCAGTAGTCCCCAGGATCGCGGAAGGTGTGGGTCAGGTTGTAAGCTGTGCTGGCCACAGACACGGGGTGGCACTCTCCTTCCTCCAGGGGCAGGCACTCGGGCTTGAGCCGCCAGCACATGGTCAGAGGTGGGCTGCAAGGGAAGGGGACAGGTTTTGAGATAAGGATCAGCAAAGAAGGAGCACAGACCAAGTCCAAGAAAAGCCAGGTGGGCATGAACTTCAATGTCCTTTCCAGGACAGGACGCCAAGCCATCCTGGTCCCAACATCCCATATTCCACACCAGGGGGGCACGATAATGCAGAAGCCATGGACCCCCAGGGGGATTCAGGCTAATGGAGCTGAGACCTGCACCGAATGCTAAGTGAGGCAGAACCGGGCATGCTCCGGAAGCACAGTGGCACGGGAAGCTTGTTTCCAAAGCACAGGGGGAGCACCACGTTCTGAACTAGGAGGTCAGGGGAGACTTCCTGGAGGAGGTGGTGTTTAAGCAGGATCTAAGGCATAGCAGGCCTTTGAATAGGATGTGACCAGTCTGCTTTATCTGCATAGCACCGTCTCTGACACTAGAGAACGCAAGCCTATTGGAGAAATGTCAAAAGAACATTCCCGGCTCACACACGGAGGCCCTGAGGAAAGCACACTCACAGCCCCTCAAAGGTCAGGGCTGCCCAGTGACTGGGGAGGCTGAGGCAGGAGGATCGCATATTTAAGGCCAGCCTCAGAAACTGAGCAAGGCCCTGTCTCAATTTTTTTTTAAATGGGGGAGTGGCTAAAGATGTAGCTGAGTGGTAAAAGCACCCTTGGCTTTGATCCCCAGTACTAAAAAAAAAAAAAAAAAAGGCTGCCAAATGCCAACCTCAATGGCTTCCTACTCTCTGTACTTTGCTCACTCTGCCTGGCCTGGCATACCTCTGATATGTCCCCGTGTGGGCACAAGAGTGCTCGGAGGGCTGAGTCCTGATCACTGACCTCTGCCATTCTCTCTCACTCAGTGGCCCTAGGGCAGCTTTGTGGAGAACACACACTCAACATCTCCACATCTCCTCACTTTTACAGCCTCAGCCTCGTTCTGCTCTGGCCAAGAGCCCTGCTGGGTCCCCTGAGGGGGCTTGCTCGTGACACATTGCTGGGATGATCTACTTCCGTTTCCGGTCCCCCCTTGTCCGCTGCTGCAGACAAACAGCGGGAAGTAACAGCTCTCTTATGCACTCTCCCAACAGCTTCCAGAACAGAGCCTGGTGCAAAGCAGACTCCGCCCACGTCTGCTGGCTGGTGCAAGATCCCTGAGGCCAGAGGGTGCAGCAGGCTTTCTGGGAGTCTGTTGCTCATTCCTAGAACTCCAAGAAAGGAGCTGTGCCCACAGCTGTCCCCAGAGCACAGCTAAGGGGCAGAGTGGAACCATCCTTCCATAAGCCCTCAGACTTGGGGCCTTCAGGGGATGGAGCCTCTGTCAAAGTGCAAAAGGGTCACAGGGCACTGGCAGTGCACTCTAGGGTTCACTCACCTCCCCAGGAAGTTCAAGGTCACTGTCATCTTTTGGAAGGTCTGAATTATGGTGGGCCCCAAAACCTGGATGCCTCGAAGGGTTTCTGTAAGGAAAGAGGACCCCGTGAGACTCAAAAGCTGAGCACTACTGTCAAGGAGCTCCCAGACCCACCCTCTCCTCTCCTCTGTGTCCCAAGGGAGGGTCACAGGTCTGTCCAGGACACCTCCCCTGTCAGCAATAGGTGCTGAGGCCAGCTTGGAGACAGGAATTCAGAGAAGCAGGCGCAGGCCAGCTCTCCTGCTCACTGCCACCGAACTGTCACTTGTGCTGTGGGAAAAGCACCATCCAAAACCAAGAAATCGACTGGAAGTCGATGTGATCAGGCAACAGGGAGCAGAGGGGATCTTCCAGCTCTCAGCAGACGTCTGATCACAATCAGGCTCCGGGAGCAGGAAGACCTGGGCTCAAATGCCAGCCCTGCCACTGAGCAGCCTCAGAACCCCAAATGCAGCCTTGGGTGCCCTCGCCTAAGCGGGGGATACCAGTGGAGACTGCTCAGGGGGTGTAGGGCATGAGGAGGCGCGATGTGCATCCAAGCTCAGGCCAGCGACAGCGAGGGTCACTGTGATCAGGAAGGCAGCGGAGTCCAGGGCTCCTCGGGGACCTACCCTGCAGCTTCAGTGAGGCAGAGAAGTCACCGGTCTTCTGCACAATGCCGTTGGTGGCGTCTGGCTTTGCCTGCTCCCACTCGGCCACCACCTTGAGCTTCACAGTGAAGGTTCCAATAATCGAATAGTTATAATAGACCACGGAGTCTTCGGTCACCATCTGGGTCCTGGAAGGACAGGGAGGAGAGAAGAAGAAGATGGAGGGTCTTTTCCCCTTCCTATAACTCAGAGGAGATTCGTGGGCTTGTCAGAGTGGGGGCAGCCGATGGTGACATGTAACTACTGATGAGGACACCGGTCATCCCAGCAGCAGCCCCTTACTCCTCCACCCCCAGCCAGCCAGGGCATGAGGTCCGCTGGCCCATTTCACAGATATAGAAACTGAGGCCAGGGAGGACAGGAGAGGTCCCACCTCGCTTCCATTCCTCTGTGTAGGGCTCTTATGTGAATGAAAGGCCGTGTGTCCTCCAAGAAGTAAACGGGGGACAGACACTTGGCCTCATGCTGCACGGGGACAGCTGTTGGGACCTCAACACTTCCACCCGACAACCACATGAAACCTTCACCAATGAAACCCCAACTAGAAGCCCGACCCCCGATGTCCAACTGCAGATCCCTTTTCCTGCCAAGGGCCAGGAAATCCACAGTCCAAGTTTCACCACTCGGTACCATGTCCGTGTTGATTCTAGCAACTCCTGTTCCAGTTTACTGAGATCACACAGAACGTCCAATCCTGCTCCTTCTAACACTTCTTTGATGTCTAAAGAGATGATCCCATAATCTCTCCCCTTTGACATATTAAAATGATGAACTAAAATAATACAGTTCCTTTTTTAGTACTGTTGACTTTGATGCTTCTCAAACTAGGTTGTACAAAAGATAACATAACCTTGGGCCATAGTTACTTTTTTTTTTTTTGTATCGGGGATTGAACTCAGGGGCAATTGACCACTGAGCCACATCCCCAGCCCTAGTTTGTATTTTATTTAGACACAGGGTCTCCCTGAGTTGCTTAGAGCCTTGCCGTTACTGAGGCTGGCTTTCAACTTGCGATCTGCCTGCCTCAGCCTCCCAAGCCGCTGGGATTACAGGCATGCGCCACCGGGCCTGGCATGGATTTTTTTAATAAATTTATTTATTTATTTATTTTAGTTATAGATGGATACAATACCTTCATTTTATTTATTCATTTTTATGTGGTGCTGAGGATCGAACCCAGTGCCTCACACACACTAGGCAAGCACTCTACCACTGAGCTACAACTGCAGCCCCCATAGTTATGTTTTTTTTTTTAACATTTATTTTTTTAGGTGTAGATGGACATAATACAATGCCTTTATTTTCATGTGGTGTTGAGGATTGAACCCAGGTCCCACCCGTGCTAGGCGAGCGCTCTACCGCTGAGCCACAATCCCAGCCCCCATAGTTATATTTTGATTAAAGGAAATACAGATAGAGCCAGGCACAGTGGGGCATGCCTGTAACCCTAGCAGTATGGGAGGCTGAAGCAGTAGGATTGCAAGTTCAAGACCAGCCTCAGAAACAGCAAGACCCAGGGCCAGGGCTGTGGCTCAGTGGTAGAGCGCTTGCCTAGCATGCGTGAGGCACTGGGTTTGATTCTTAGCACCCCAAAAAAATAAACAAATAAAATAAAGGTATTCTGTACATCTACAACTATAAAAAATTTTTTTAAAAAGAAAGAAACTTAGTAAGATCCTAAGCAACTTAGCAAGATCCTGTCTCAAAAAATAAAAAGGTCTGGGGATGTGGCTCAGTGGTTAAGCGCCCCTGGGTTCAATCACCAGTACCAAAAGGAAAAAGAAATACAGATACATTATGGGGTAGAATATACACTGGGCAACTGTTTTCACATGAAATCTACAGCTTGGAAGGAGAGGTGACTCTTGGGCTGGACCTCTGTAAGGGTCTGAAGACTGCTGTCTCTTTCCTCTGAAGATAAAAGGATTTGGTGACAATTTCAGACATGCATGACTCTTGTTGACTCTGGTGTATTATTAATTTAATGAAGTGATGTAAGATCAAAAAAAAATGGCATGTAGTTTCTTAGTTTGAGCTGTGTTAGTTTTGTAGACTAAATCAAGAGAGTCTCTATCTTGGTTTCTGCTCTGGAGGAATTTATATCATAACAGGATATTTAATGGATCTTTGAAAGCCTAAAATACCTTGCTAATAAAGTCACCTGACTTGTTGGTTCTTAGAGATAACTCTTCAAGTCATTCTAGTAATTTACATTTTCCTAGGATATCATTCCATTCACTATCATTTAAAAATAGATTAGCATGGAGTTTTGAATTAAACAAAATAATACCTTACACTTTAAAAAAATAGTATTACTATACCCATAGTGATCGCTACTTTCAAATCCTTGATAGGATTTTAAATTCGTGTGTAAATGCACACTTTCTCCTTTCAATAAATTAATAATAGCTGGAGATCTCCACACTTTATTTTCTCTGCCCCATCTTTTGCAAAAAAAAAAAAAAATTTTTTTGAATTTATCAATTCTGGTTTTCTACTTGTAATTTATCTTTTTTATTTTGATAAATGTCAATTCTTTCACTTTTTGTATATTTTTTCCCTTCTAAGTCCATGAGTTGAATTTTTTTAATCTTCATTTTTCCTTAAAAATAATCATGAAAACACTTAAGACTATGCATTTGCCTCTGTTTACAGCCTTGAAACAGATATTCTCTTAGGTTTGTATGCACAATGTTCCCCTCCTCACTATTTTCTAATATTATCTCATCACAGTTTCTTTCGACCTAAAAGGTTTTTGTTGTTGTTGTTGTTGTTGTTGTTGATAGTGATGATGCTAAGATCAAAACAGAGCCCTCCCTGAACATGCTAAGCACATGATCTACTACTGAGCTAAACTTCCAATCCCCAAGAATCATGTTTTAAAATGTCGAATTGGTGGGGTATCTTTGTTTGCCTGAGGGTCCTTCTGGATAGTCTAACGATACTGAGTGGTGAAACTTGGACTGTGGATTTCCTGGCCCTTGGCAGGAAAAGGGATCTGCAGTTGGACATTGGGGGTCGGGCTTCTAGTTGGAGTTTCATTGGTGAAGGCTTCATGTGGTTGGCAGATAGAAGTGCTCAGGTCCCGCCAGCTGTCCCTGCGCAGCATGAGGCCAAGTGTCTGTCCCCCATTTCCTTCTTGGAGTACACACGGCCTTTCATTCACATCAGAGCCCTACCCAGAGGAATGGAGGTGAGTTGGGACTTCTCCTGCCCTCCCTGGCCTCAGTTTCTGTATCTGTGAAATGGGCCAGCTGACCTCAAGCCCTGGCTGAGGCACATTTAGGGTGACCTCAAGCCCTTGAGGCACAATGAGGGCTGTAGACACATTTAGGTTGGAGGCTTTGAGTCACATGGTATCACTTGACATGGAGCTTGAGGTCAATCACATGGGTAGTCAGTCATTCCTATGCAACAGAGCCCTGTTATGGAATAAACTGTGTCCCCTCTAAATTCATATGCTACAGCTCTAGCCCCCAGTATGACCATATCTAGAGATAGAGCCTTTAAAGAGGTAATTATGGTTAAATGGAATCACAGGGTGAGACCATAATCCCATATTAAACCATACCTATGAGTCTAATAGCTCATGATGAAATCTAATATTAAACCATTATTCTGAGACCAATAGGTCATGTGAAACTTTCTGGGCAATTATCCAACCTTAGCATGGTCTTGGGAACCCTCCATCATCAAACCTGCAATTGGTGTCAGAGGTTGTATTAGTCAGTGTTCTGTTACTGTATCAAATAATATCAGAGATGATCAGCTTATAAAGAGAAAAGATTCCTCTTGGCTCACAAGCATGACTAGTTGGCCCCACTGCTTTGGGCCCGTGGCAGCCCAGTACATCATGGAGGGAGCACACAGCAGAAAAGGCCCATTTGACTCATGATGGGGTGAAAAGAGAAGAAGGGGCAGGATCCCATGGTCTCCTTCAAGGACATGCCCCTGATTACCTAAGACCTCCCACTAGGCTCCACCTTTTAAAGGTTCCACCACCTCCCAACAGCACATGCTGGGGACCTTTGAGGGACATATCAGACTCAAACTCTAGCAAAAGAGACGATGTTCCTGCAGAGGGCGGTGCTCCCTCCAGCTGAGCAAGTCAGTCTCAGAAGTGAGGGCAGCCTTGCGGATGATGATTCCTTCTAATTTTAGAGTTCACTAACCTCCAAGCTGGTCTACAACTTTTTGTGCATTACGTTTGTGAGCAAAAAAAAAAAAAAAAATTTGTGAACTTCTGGTCTGTACTGTGATTGGAACACGAAGCTTATACATTTTCTTTTAGGGGATGTTTGGCATTTTAGGCTCTAGAATGTGATTTTATTTTACATATTTGTAAATACTCATACATTATTTTGTTTTTAGGTCCAAAGTTCTGCATAGAAACAAACAATATTTTTTTTTCATTCAAACAGTGTTATGAAAATCCTCTGTTGCTACCTCAGTTGTCTCTGAAATATCAAAGTCAGAGTGTGGAATATTAAAATCTATGGTGTGTGTGTGTGTGTGTGTGTGTTTTCCTTTATTCTCCTCTTTCTGGGTAATTTCCCCAACAGGACCTTCTTTCTTATATATTTTGATGCTGCAATACTCCCAGAATAAATTTTCAGGGAAGACACTACAGACCTGAGCCTTTGCAAAATATATAAAGAAGGCCCTATTTAGTCTTGGAGCCCATCAGAATCAAATGAAGAAAAATCCTACCTACCTTGACCTTCCTTAAGGGCTGTGCTGGGCACAGATGGCCCCCCTCTATTGGGCTGCAACATGTCAAAGGCAGGACCAGCAACCAGTTCATGAATATCCCTGGGACCCCAGGCCCGACACAGAGCAGGTGCTCAAGAAAGGTTTGGTGGATGAGTAAGGAGCATTCTGCACAGGAGGGATAGCAGGGCAGGCACTAAGAGACCCCGGCTACCACCCATGCCTTTGGGACATTAAAGAGGCTACATCAAGACTTACCCATCTCCGAAGTCCCAGCTGTAGAGAAAGGAGGCTGTCTTGAAGAAGTTGCTTGGGTCATGAAGGAGGAAGGAGACTTTAAGAACTGTCTTGGTGAGGTAGGAGCTGGGCCAGGGCAGGGAGGTGTTCTGGGCAACCACGATGTTCCCCACGAGGAACTCTGGGAGAAACAGAGGAAAGGTGAGTCCATAGAGGGACTGGGAAAGAGGAGACTGGGAGCTGCTCATGGTTAGCAAGCAAGGCAGCCTCTCCCTACCTGGACCTTCTGGCTTTCAGAGCTGGGCGGGAAGAGGGGACCTCACAGGTCCCTGAACACACAGGCATCCACGTCATCCCCCTGATGTATGGATACTCACAATATATGCTACATACATAGTTTGCACTCCTGTTTCCCTTTCACCAGGACCCTGAACTTCCTGGCACAAAAGATGCCCGGGAAGTTCAGGCTTTGAAAGAAACTTTGGGGAAATATAGTCAGCTGTCTGTATCCAGGGGTTCTGCATCCACAGGTTTAACCAACTCTGGTAGAAAAATACTGGGGGGAAAAATGCATCATTACTGATGGATGGCATTTTTCTTTCCTTTGCATTATTCTTTAAACAATACAGACGCACACTTCATAGCATTTACATTGTTCTGGGTATTATAAGTCATCTAGAGACGACTTAAAGTATACAGGAGAATGTGTGTGGTTTGTGTGCAGATACCAACTATATTATATAAGGGGCTTGAGCACCTACAGATTTTGGTATCCATGGGCGTTCTGGAACAAATTCCCCCAAAGATACTGGAGGGAAAATGCATTTCAAAATGTTAGATGAAATTAGAAAAATGCATAATTCTACAGATTGCATCTCCATACCTAAGGTGCTGGGCCTGTAACCCCAGCAGTTTGGGAGGCTGAGGCAGGAGAATAAAGTGTTCAAAGCCAGAGTCAGCAACAACAAGGAGCTAAGCAACTCAGTAGGACCTTGTCTCTAAATAAAATACAAAATAGGGCTGAGGATGTGGCTTAGTGGTCCTGATTTCAATCCTCGGTACCCCCCCCAAAAAATAAATAAATAAATAAATACAAAATAGGGCTGGGGATGTGACTCAGAGGTCGAGTGCCCCTGACTTCAATCCCTGGTACCTCCCAAAATAATAATAATAATAAAAATAAAAAGAATATGAATAAGAAAAAATACCACTTATTGGATTGGTTCTACAATTCTGTGCTTTGTTTTTTTCTATGTAATTTTACGAGAATGCAGATTTACCCATGACACTGCAAACTTACTGTAAGGGTCATTATTTCAATACATTTAACCAGTCCCCTAACGGTTGCCCACTTAACTCCTTTATATCTTCTTATAAACACTACTGCAATGAACATCTGAGTACATAAAACATTGCCAAATGGAGGCTTATTTCTTGAATATAAATTTATTATTAGATTATAAGCTGCAAAAGAGCAAAAGGCCCAGAATCTCTTGGACAGAGAGAAAAGAAAGAGAGAGAGAGAGAGAGAGAGAGAGAGAGAGAGAGAGAGGTGTAGTGAGAAGAATCAATAACAAATCACTGAATGCAAGACAAGAAGAGCTTATAACCATTTATATATATATATATATATATATTGATGAGCTGTTCTCCACAGGATTGTTTTAATAATTCTCCAGGAGTAATATGTGCTGTGAGTGTCTATTTCAGCATAGCTCTGCCTGCAGAGGGTATTAGTATTTCCTGACCCCTTTTAACTCAACAGACAATAGAGAAGGAATCCACGGGTATAATTGGTATACTACTGAGGTTGCATGTATTTCTCTTCACCAAACACCTGAAGGCAAATTCATATTCCAGGAAAGATCCTCACCTGTGATGGGCAGGACAACAAAGTTCCTGGCCACTGGATGGCACATCCAGCAGTCAGCAGCAGTGACCCAGACAGAGACGGGGAACTCCCCAGGCACATTGCCCACCACGCGGATGGTCGAGCTGAGATCGCTCTCCATCTTGCCAGTGAGCACAAGTGGGGTGTGGATCCAGTGGAAGCGGTAGAGATGGGCATCAGTGGGCAGTGCCAGGCTGCCATTGTCCTTGGCCACCAGGCTGGCTGAGATGGTCACCTCTGCTCCTGTACTGGCAGGCCCATCGGTGGTCAGATTGAGTTCATACATGCCTAGGAGCCAAGAAACAGATTATGGAGGTAGGCAAAGGAGCCCCTCAGCTACCTTTGGGAGGGCATCCATGCTCGCAAAGTGGAACCCCGCTATTTGCAGGGGACATATTCCAGATCTGCCAGTGGATGTCAGAAACTGAAGACAGAACCAAACCCCACAAATGCTTTCTCCCCCCACCACCATTCATACATACCTATGATAAACCAATGCATAAATTACACACAAGAGATTAGCAATAGAAATTAACAATAGAGTAGAATTAACCAGGGACAGTGGTGCACACCTGTAATCCCAGCCACTTGGGGGCCGAGTCAGGAGGATCACAAATTTGAGGCCAGCCTGGTCAACCTCACAAGACCCTGTCTCATGGCCAGGCATGGTGGCACATACCTGTAAACCCAGAGGCTCAGCAATTGTGCAAGGCCCTAAGCAACTCAGTGAGATCCTGCCTCTACATAAAATATAAAAAAGGGCTGGGGATGTGCCTCAGTAGTTAAACGCCTCTGGATTCAATCCCCAGTACCAAAAAACAAAACAAAACCCTGGGTTCAATACCCAGTACCACATACACGCACAGAACTTTTTATATATATTTTAGTTGTAGATGGACACGATACCTTTATTTAATTTATTTATTTTTATGTGGTGCTGGGGATCGAACCCAGGGCTTCACACATGCAAGGCGAGCGCTCTACCACTGAGCCACCACCCCATTCCACACACACAAAATTTTAACAACATACTAAAAGTTATATGAATGTGGCCTCTCTGCTCTCAAAATATACTGTCCTTACCTTTCTTGTGATGATGTGAGATGACGCGATGCCTATTTGAATGTCATCATGACATAGGATCAGGCTACTGTTGATCTGATGATCATCTCATCGGAAGGAGGGTTATTGAAAAACGACCATGCAGGAGAACGTCAGAGAACTGAAACCTTGGAAAGCGGAACCAGGGATAAGGGGGACTACTGCATTTTATTTTACAGGTGGGAAACCTGAGGCTTAGGCGGCTCAAATGACTTGCCTGATCCAGCACATTCGTTGTCAAACTGGAATTCAAAGCCAGGTCCAACTGACTCCAAATCCCAGGCTTTTTACAGCATCTCCAAGTTCATTTTCCTTTCGTGCCAATCAAGGGCTTACAAAGCATGTGGATGGCTCAGCCCAACCAGGGCAGACTTATTATACCTACAAAGTGACTGCCACTGCTTGTCACAGGAGGGGCCAGCACAGCTGCCCCTGTAGAATAACTGCTGCCAAGAAATGCCTGCATTTTGCCAGCCGCAGTGGTGCACACCTGAAATTCCAGTGGCTGAGGAGTCTGAGGCAGGAGGATCCCAACTTCAAAGCCAGCCTCAGCAAAAGCAAATGCTAAGCAACTCAGTGAGACCCTGTCTTTAAATAAAACACAAAACAGGGCTGGGGGCGTGGCTCAGTGGTCCAGTGCCTCTGAGTTCAATTCCTGATACCCTCCCCCCACCCCCCAAAAATGCCTACATTTCCATTCTTTGGACACACTTTAACGTTGAACAAAATTCAAATTTGGAAAACAAAGTTGAGTGAAATTCATGGGCATTGTCCCGAGTCATTTTTCTTCATGTATTTTAGACAGTTGCAGAATATTTTATATAAACAGGTAAGATATTCAAAGTAAGCTTTGCCTCCATCATAAAAATAATGCATAGGCATCAAGAATAATAGACATGTCCCATTATTTATCCTGCCTCCCAAAGACAATAGCTGTTGTCACACTGTTGTCCTCGCGTATCTTTCTCACGCATGGAAGTTTTTCCGGTCATAATCACTCTGCATGCAATTTTGAATTCTTTTATTTTCACAGGACAGTATATCCAAAGCATGTCCGTGGTGGCAGTAATCTCAATTTCAATATTTGCATGATTATTCCTCCAGCAGGTTTTATTTTACTTCACACCACCTCACTCTTACCAATAGTGCTATTGGACATTTGGATGGAGTTTAAATTATTCAAATTTGATTGCTTAAATTTAGTTAAAACTAAGAGTTCAGTTTTTTAGTCACACCAGCCACATTCCAAGCGCTTACCCGTCATCTGTGGTTACTGGCCACTCTCAGCTCAGGTACAGGTATCCTTGGCCAAACTTCTCCTGGCCAGCCCTGGCCTCATCCCTGTAGCTTCTCTCCCCTCACTCTCCTGGGGGAGGAGGAGCCAGCTATCCCTAGAATGGATCCCAGGTCTTTGCCATTCAAGCTTCTCCCATCTGGCACATTCCTGGCCTCTCCATCCCTACTCCATCCCATTGCTTAAGGCTGGCATGCAGCCCTGTCTGGATTCCTGCTCCACCCTGGTCCCTGGTCCCTAGTGTCCAGGACCACCCCAGTGACAGTTTCCTGCACAATCTGACCACATGCTCATAGGCTAGCCTCAGCATGGCTCCAGATTCACATCTTGGAACATCTGTACTGTGGCACTTTAATTTTTGCAAACACCCCTCCCCCCACACACACACACAGATGGACACGACATCTTCCAGGAAGCCTTTGTGTACCCTTGGGCCCCAGCACTCTCTGGGCAGCCTGAGCTTATCGCTGTCACACACCATAATGAATGAAGGTTCCTTCTTCTCCCCCAGTGTACTTTGAACTCCTTGAGAGCAGGGGTCATCCCCAACTCCTCCGTGCTCAGCAAAGTACTGACTGAGTAGGTACGACACAGGGACCAGCCCACCTGGCACTGCCCCCAAGGACTGTTCATCCAGGTGCTACCAATTGAGCCCCTTCTTTGTATGCTACCTCCGAAGGTGCTGGGAGGACCCAGAAATGCAGGACATGTGCCTGGCCTGGGGGAAATCACCCCCGTTGGTCTCTCAGCAAAACTGGGAGGTGAGTTTGTTTTCAACTGTGCCCCAGTCACTCCCATAGCAACTTTACCTGCCTCCACTGGGGACTTTGGCTCCAACCTCTCCTCTCACCCAAGTCCCACATTCCCTTTTCTGAGTCTCTTTCCTTCAGGGCCATTTCTTGAATGACAAAGGCACTGGAGTCAAGATGCCAAGGTCATGTCCAAGGAAATTCTGGCATTGAAAAGGAGACCAGTATTGTCTTAACCCCAAAGAGAGAATTCCAAGCATGGTGGTGGAAACTTACCCAAGAAAATACAGTGTGAATATTACACTGAGGATCAGAGGTCTTCGAGAGAGTTACGCTACTGCCCAGGACCACCCAGCAAATCCGCACCCCGGGGCTGGGCTCCAGTCTCCCTCTCTCTAGCTGGAGGCAGCCAGGCCCAGTGGTGCAGAGGGAGCTCAGATGGGAGGCCACCTCCTTCCTTCTCCCTCTGGCTCCTGCCACCCCCCATCTTTTGCCTGAGAAGCACAGACTAGGGAGAGACTGACAGGTGGCAGGGACATTCTGCTTCATGCTAATGGCCATCCTGCGTCTGCAGTGAGATGGGTGCCTGTCAGCACACTACGCAGATCCATTGCCACCGCAACGGAATCAGGAGGGCAGCCGGCTGGGACTGGGAGGGGGGGGGCAGGGAGGGGCTGTAGCCACTGCAGACATGGATGCAAACACTGGCTTAACTCACAGCAGCCCCCACCATCTCTGCCAGGGCTTTTGGAGGTGTCTGTTGAAGGCTGAGCCAAGCACAGTTGAAGGAAACCAAGCCCAGGGGCTGCTGCTTGACCTATCCAAATCCATCTTTTCTGGTTTGAGTACAGAACTGCCAGGAGAGGGCTTGGGATTGACACTAGTTCCCAGGTGATCCATGGCTAAAGTGACCAAAGCAAAAATGAAAGGGGCAACTGCCCCCAAAGCTGGGCCCTGGAAGAAATCCTCACCCACCAGCTATCCAGGGCCTCCACTTGGGGGGTGTACATTTTCCCACAATACAGCATGTGGGGCCCCAGAACATTCCAGAAAATGGCTATATCTGCCCTTTCACAGATCACACGTAGACAAGCCAAAATACCTCCCTAAGACCAATAACCTGTCATGATTACCAGTCCAATACATGGACTTCTGATGCACAAATCCTAGTTTGGATGCATCCATCAAGCTGATCTCTAATGGGTGGAGGAGAAAGTACGTTCCCCAGCTCCAGCCTCAGCTACTGTTAATTTTGATTCTATCAAGGATGCAATTGGCCAGCCTAGGAACCATATGTATTTCCAAATAATTTATTTTATTTTTGTATCAAAATTCATTTTATTTTTTTAAAAAAAATGTGTCCAATTTCTAGACACATGTAGCCCGAGTGGATAAGAGACTCGATTTCTGTATGAATTTCCAAGGGGAAGCAAGTGATCCTGTCCAAGCACAGTTTCCCCAAATTCTCCTAATTCATGCCTAAGACGCAGGTTCTTCTTACCTTTTGGCTTTTCTTCTACAAATGTGCATTAGATTCCTTCCTCTCCCTACCACTCTTTTATGGGTAAGGGCTACTGAAAAATCTTGGTATTCCATTTGTGGCGCCCTACCCCCATAGCTGCCCACGTTCCACCTGTCTCTCAGTTCTCCAATCTGGGTCCTTTTATTGATTTCACAATATGTTGGAAGGTTGGTGCTGGCCTCTGGATGGTGGGCCCCGAAGGAACCTGTCAGCTGGGGGTCCATTTTAGAAATCACTCCCAGTTAGGAAATGGCAGACTGGCCTCCTGGGCTCTAAAATATCATCCCTTTACCCACAAAGCAAGGTGAAAACCTCCCTAGATCAAAGTGGCATCTTAAGGGAAAGACGCAGCCCTGTGGGCAATCTGTCGGTGCTCCCTGGGGTGCTGTGGCGCAAGGACCGCCCGGGCCCGCCCGGGCCCACCCCGGCCCACCGGGGCCCACTCCGGCCTCCCGGCGTCGTCCTCCGCTCCCCCTCGCTCAGTGACGCCCGGGGATGGATGGAAGCCCCGGCCACAGCGAGCGCTTCTCAGGGCAGGCCGACCTGAGGGTGAAAGCAAGAATTGAGGGGCACGGGGAGTCCCGTCAAGTGCCCGGGAGACTTCTGGGGAGAGGGGACAAGGGAGAGAGGGGAGAGAGTCCGGCGCCCTACCGGCCTAGACTCCCAGACAGCAGCGGTGGCCTCGAGGGAGGAGGGAGGAGCGCGCAGGGCGCACGGCACCACCTCCGCAGCCCAGGCTCGGGCAGCCGGCCCGCTAGGGACCGCCCCGAGCCCCGGGCGACCTGCGGCTGCGGGGACAGGGACGTCCGGGCCAGCTCCTTACCTGCCGCCACCCTCGCTGGGGCTAAAGGCAGGAGGCAAGCGAGCCAGAGGATGCGACCGACGTGAGACCAGACCACGGGGGCCATGGCGAGGCCTGGCGCTGCAGGAGCGCGGAGGGGACGAGGAGGGAGCCGGGCTCGAGCTCGGTAGCCGCTCCTCTGGGCGCGCGTCACGGGCTGTGCTGAGAGGTGCGGGCGCCGCGCTCGCTCGTCCTCGCCTCGGGACGCTGTGTCGCTGCGCGCCACCGCCCATCCGCCGCGCGACCCCGGCCCCCGTCTGCCTGTCCTCGGCGCCGCGCCCCCTCCCCGCGTCCTTCCCCACGGCGGCGCCCCGGCCTCCCTGCGTCCTCGCCCCTCCCCAGTCGGCTCGCGGCAACCCTCCCTCCCTGTCCTCTCCCCGCATCCTCTCCTCCCGAGTCCGCGCCCCCGCACTCTGACTCAGCGTCCCCAGAGGCGCGCACCGCGCAGCAAAGCCGCGCGCGGGCCCCGCGGGCCTCCCCAAGAGCCTACCTACCGCACACTCGCCTTTGGAGAGATCGTTCTTCATTCAGAAAACGTCGCCTGCTGCTTGTCAGCGCTGGGCACAGGGCCTGGAACCGCCTGGAACTCCTCTTGAGAGAGGGGCCTGAGCGCACAGACCCTGCATCTGGTCTAGTACCCCCTCTTTGCTCCTATTGTAAAGCGGGGCTCATGCCTACCTGGATCTCCCATCACTTCGTTGTCATTGAAAGCCTTGCGAGGGTCCGACATGCACCATAAAAGGTGATCACGACCTATGCTCTTGAAGCCTAAGTAGGTGCTTCCCTCTACCATCACAGGGCAGAACAAATCTCCTGGGAGCCCCCTGGGGCTTGACAGGCCCGTGGTCTCAGCTGTGCCTCTACCTTGCTGTAGATCCCTACACTTGAGAAGAGATCCCTACACACAGTGAAGTGAGTGGATAGCCTCCCAGGCCCAGCAGGCACCGATGGATAATCATTGCATGATCCTCTGCCTTGGCATCAAGGCATACAAAGGGCCATCTCTGGAACAGCTGTGGGCTCCCCTGAGGATGGACCCCCATCTCAGAGGGATGGAGGGGGTACAAACTTGAGGAAGCCCCATTAGAAAATGTCAAAATTGTTAGATGTCACTCCTCTGTACCATTAATGGCCACACTGGTTGCAAACATCAAGCCTAGGAATCAGGAGACTTTGGGTTCTCCCTGGGGTTGGATGATCTTGGAAAAGTCACTTTCCTCTCTGTACCTCAGTCTCTTTTTTCTTTAAATTAGGGATAGTCATAGTGTTGACCCCCATGAGAGTGTTGTAAGGCAAAACACAGAACAGTGCTTAGGAACACAGTAAGCATCCAATTAGTATTGGCTGTCATCCTCAGAATTGCTTAAGGGCTTGGGAGAGTTTCATTTATTCATCAGGAATTTGAAGGGATTGAGAAGGAAATAAAGGTAAGGCTACAGTTTCAGATATTTAAAACTAACATGATACAAAGGTCTGGTTGTGACTTTTAAAGTATACTAAACAGAATAAGATTTATTGTTTTATATATATGTAACTTTAATAATTCTACAGTGGCCACCTTCAAGGCCACCCTGAAGCTGAAATTGAAGCAACCCTTTGTTTAACTCCCTGTTTGCCAGTATTTTCCACAGGCATCTCTCTGGGCTCTCTCAGGACCTGTTTGTTCCACCTCATACAAGCTGCACAGTTAGCTTCTTCTCCAGGCCTGCAGGGGGAGTCTGTAGAGAAAGGACAGGAAGTCCTCTCAGAGAGCCAGTCTTTCAACTTTTAAGTGTAGTTGTCCAGAAATATAGTCACACGTCATTTTAAATTTTGTAGTAGCCGCATTTTAAAAAGAACAAAAAAGGTGAAATTAATGCTATTGCTATATTTTATTTTATTCAATATATACAAAATATCATTTCAAGGTGGATACAGTGGCGCTTGCCTGGAATCACTGACCTATCTATGCATCTTCCTGCCCCACCCCTTTGAGATGGTGTCTTGCTATGTTGTCCAGGAAAGTCTCAAACTCCTGAGCTCAGGTGATCCTCCTGCCTCAGCCTCTTGCACCACCACAACAGGCTTTGAAAGCACAGTTCTAAACTGTCTGAATACAAATGCATCTTGCTAACCTAAGAGTCATAGCCCCATCCCCACCCTGCACAGGCCATATTTATATCCTGTGAGGGTAAATTTGTCCCTCCTTGCAGCATTCTTGCCTACGTTTAGAGCATGTGTCTGTATGCCTAATGGTTATAGTTTGGTGCCAAGTAGATGCTTGCTGAATAGCTGAAAGCAAAAGCTGATGCTCCTTTTGCTCATCTCCCAAAGCCTTGAGCATGACCCAGTGAAAGTTCATTTGGATGACCATGAGAGTCTCCCACATGCTGGCCCCTTTGGTTTTCTATTCTGAGACCATCTCATATGACCCCCACGGTGACACACAGGTGGGATATCCTCTTCCCTGGCAAAGTGAGCATTGATCAGAACAGACACTGATAGCAAACTTAATGGGGGACCCCTGGGGTCTGACATCCACAACAGCAATCACAGACCCCTGGACAGACTAGAGGTTATGGGCAGTAAAACCTCATTCCCTTGGGTCTGGGTAGCTGTGGCCTGTTTTGACTCATTAAAATTTCTGGGTTATGGAAAGTTCTTTGACTTCTTTGATGTCAATTCCTCCTTCTTTCAATTAGCAGAGTTTATTTGAGCAGATAATGATTCAAAATTGGGAATCACTTAGTATGAGGAGAGGTTTGGAGAACTCCATCCAGGAATGTGGTCAGGCAGTACTTACAAACAGAAAAAAAAGAAGTGTGTCCAGAAACTGCTTCACAGGTTACAGTCAAGCATTTTGTAGAAAGTAGATTTCTATAAATTGTTCAACATTTTAAAATATTTCCCCCCTTCACACAGTGAGAGACTCACATACGTACTCACACATATCTCTTAGCTTGTCTCCACTATCTCCCAGCAATAAGTACAGAGGACATTTTAGACAAATATTTGGAAGTTTTATATCCAGAGTGAGGATGGCAATTCTTGTTGATGAGAATCTTCCTGAAGAAGGTTACTTACAGCCTGTTGGTTCTAGTGAGCTGCTATAACTCACCTTTGATATTGGAAGAACAGTAGCCCTAGGGTTCACATTCCTAACAAATCCTCATTGTCCTCTCCTGGAAATGTAGCTGTGGGAGGTGGGGGCCAGTGCACTGGTGACAATGACCCCAGATCAGCTCCTGAGGGATGCTTTTGGAGCTAATCTGATAACAGCTTGGAATGGGGTTCCAGGAGATTTCTTTGTTAAATTTAGCATGGTTTTAGGTCTGAGCCTCAGCTCTCCCATGGCAGCTGGACTTGTCAGATCTCAGGCCACCCAGTTACACTGTTGAAACCCATAAGAAGGACTGGGGATATAACTCAGTTGATAAGAGTGCTTGGTTTGCATGCACAAGGCCCTGGGTATGATCCCAGCACCAAATAAAAAAAAAAAAAAAAAAAAAAGAAAGAAAGAAACCCCTAAGAGATCTTTGGAGGACAGGGTGCTGGAATATGAATTCATCACAGTGCAAAGTTCTTTGCAGAGGTGAACCTCAAAATGGCCAGCCTCCAGGAAACCAAACATGTAAGGCAAAGGTAACAGGAGACTCCAGCAGGGTTCAGGCAATTGAACCCAGGGGTGCTTTACCATTGATCTACATCTGCAGTCCTTTTAATTTTTTTTTATTTTGAGAAAAGGTCTTGCCAATTTGCTGAGGCTGGCTTTGAACTCGTGATCATCTTGCCTCCTAAATTGCCGGGATTATAGGAATGCACCACTGCCCCTAGCTGAGTGGCTCTTAAAAATGTGGGCAGGGGCTATTGCTCTGACTCACTCCACCGTAGAGACCATCTGTGCAGATTGTGCCCACTGGAGTAGATATTTGGGGGCTCCTGAAATTCTTTTTTTCTTTTTTTGTGGAGTTGGGGCTTGAGCCCAGGACCTTGCGAATGCTAGGCAAGTGCTTTGCAGGTATAGTGAGTTCTGCTCCCTGCCTCTTGATTTCTTCTTTTTAATGCTTCAGTTGATCCCTGCCCTGTAGAGGGCATCGTTCCAGACAGGGACCACATTTGCTTACTAAATGTGAGTTTGGATCTCTACTGTCTTTCTAAGGTCCATGTATTAAAGGTCTGGTCCCCAGCATGGTGACATTGGGAAGTTGTGGGGACACTTTAAGAGGTGGGGCCTATGGCTCCGATCTACATATTGTGGGGTCGGGCTCCAAATTCCTTAATAGGACACCCATAGCACAAGAGTTAATAACAAGAATCAACAAATGGGACTTACTTAAACTAAAAAGTTTTTTTCTCAGCAAGAGAAACAATAAGAGAGGTAAATAGGGAGCCTACATCATGGGAACAAATTTTTACTCCTCACACTTCAGATAGAGCCCTAATATCCAGAGTATACATAGAACTCAAAAAATTAGACAATAAGATAACAAATAACCCAATCAACAAAAGGGCCAAGGACCTGAACAGACACTTCTCAGAGGAGGACATACAATCAATCAACAAGTACATGAAAAAATGCTCACCATCTCTAGCAGTCAGAGAAATGCAAATCAAAACCACCCTAAGATACCATCTCACTCCAGTAAGATTGGCAGCCATTATGAAGTCAAACAACAATAAGTGCTGGCAAGGATGTGGGGAAAAGGGTACTCTTGTACATTGCTGGTGGGACTGCAAATTGGTGCGGCCAATTTGGAAAGCAGTATGGAGATTCCTGGGAAAGCTGGGAATGGAACCACCATTTGACCCAGCTATTGCCCTTCTCAGACTATTCCCTGAAGACCTTAAAAGAGCGTATTACAGGGATACTGCCACATCGATGTTCATAGCAGCACAATTCACAATAGCTAGACTGTGGAACCAACCCAGATGCCCTTCAATAGATGAATGGATAAAAAAAAAATGTGGCATTTATACACCATGGAGTATTACGCAGCACTAAAAAATGACAAAATCATGGAATTTGCAGGGAAATGGATGGCACTAGAGCAGATTATGCTTAGTGAAGCTAGCCAATCCCTAAAAAACAAATACCAAATGTCTTCTTTGATATAATGAGAGCAACTAAGAACAGAGCAGGGAGGAAGAGCAGGAAGAAAAGATTAACATTAAACAGAGACATGAGGTGGGAGGGAAAGGGAGAGAAAAGGGAAATTGCATGGA